GACCAGCCCACCACACCCCCTTTTGCTTTGCCGGCCTCCAAACTGTTAGTAACTGATGAGAAAGTGAGAGACACACGTTTACTGTTTCTGGAATCTTAACATTTACGATTTTCCCATCCTCCTCCTCTCGGTCCCTCGTCTCTCCCTTGCTCCTACTGCTTGTTTTGTCTTTAGCATCCCATTCCCCATCCTTCCTTCTCTGCATATGGATGTGCAATGAGGAGGAGGGTTGTTCCTTTTGCATGGGAGAGGGATGGTGGTACAGAGACCCTCTGCTCACTGTCCTGGATGTGGCATTACCCGTAACTTCCCTTCTCCCAACAGTGCTAGAGACATATTTTACAAAACCCTGTTTGGTTTAATTTACACATCCCTTTGTGAACAGACCAAGTTCTTTAAGGGCATTTATTCTGCTTCATATAAATAATTGATCAGCCAAGTTAATTTACTTCGGCCTGACTTGGTCAACCTTAATTAACTGCCCTGGAATCAAGACTGAACTTTTTGTTAGCTTAAAATCTTTCTCAAGCGTGATAACAAGGGCTTTATTTTTCCCTAAATTTTCAGCATCAACACTGTAACCAAGGAAATAATCATAATAATAAAGCTGTGTTTTAATTTACTATAAATACATTGGCCTGGACATTATGAATTTTCCAGGAGGTTTCCACAGAGTAGCTCTGTTGGCAACAACAATAAATAAGCACGTGAGACCCAGTTCTTATTATTTTAAAAAGTCCCCTAGAAAAACAGTGAGTCTTTGAAATTGGTATCTTTGTCATATTTCCAAGCGAGGTGGCAAGTGTGTGGTTTGGGCTTCCTTATGCATCTGACAGCCATGGGATGGCAGTGTCAGCCTTGTAGGGTCGCAGGGTATGAATCAGATGTTTTAAGCAGGTCCTGTCTGTATGCAGGAGGTAGGAGGTATACGGGAGCAGTGGGGAGAGGCTTGGCCCCATTCTTAAGAATGAGCAGGTTGATGGATACTAGGTGGCTGGAGCCTCCATATACATGATCCTCAAATCCAAGCACCATAGACAATTACACAATGGGTCATACTTTTAGGTCATCGTGGTGCAGGGTGATTCTTTGGCAACCTGTTGTCCCAGAGAGGAGGAGCAGAGGTTAAGCAAACCAGGTTCTTGGGACAAAACTCCTCTGAAGAAAAGAGAGTGCAAAGCTCTGTGGTGGAAGGGAGGATGTTCCTGGAGGCTCTGTGCTTGCTCTCCACTGACAACATGGTGATAGGGCCACCTCCTGAAACATTCCAGTACTGTTAGACCTTTTCTTCACCCACCTGCCACCCTCTTGTCTTTGCTGGGGTTTCTCCTGGTTGATGTACCGTTTGATCACTTAGCCAGGAACTCTCTGAGGAAGGAAGTCTTGATCATTTCTTGAGCTCCTGTCTGCAATGAAGAGTCTCTATGGCTGTATTTGTCCCCTGATTAACTGAGCATCACTTTCTTGTCTCTGAAATGAGGACTTGGGGGTTTGAGAAATGGACTGCAGGGTTTTATATGGAGATATAAAAGCTTATTAAATGCCCCAGGATGTTTGATAGAGACACCCTTGACCTAGACAGTGTCAGAAATACTTGTAGACACCTCTTTTTCCACATGGGCATTTCATGAAGCCGTTGGCCCGCGATTGGGGTTATACCTTAATGGAAAATTAAAAGTCCTCTAGCCTGTGTATTCCAGTTAGCAGTTGACTAACAAGGACATCCTTAGACCAGAACAATCCTTTATACAGTTTTGGTCACAAAGTCTGACCTCTCACAAACTCAGTTCATGAGCCAAGCTGCTTGGCTCCAGGCCTGCCAAAATTCTACTGGAGGATGTAGCAGTCTTTTTTGGAGCTGGATGGAGCAAAGGAGGGGCTTCTTTTCACACTGTGCCTCAGAGGAGGTTTTTTCACTCCACCTACCATGGTCGTTTCCAACAAGCACACAAAACCGAGGGTTAGGCTTTTAGATAATCTGCTCTTGGTCCCAGATCCCCATAGTCATGTGGTTTGAGGGCCACACTTGCGTAGTTCTGTTCAATAAGGACAGAATGTATGACTGTGTGTGCTCCTGTCTTAGGATAGGTGTAGAGCGCTTCTAAAGGCAGTTTGCCTGTCCGGTGAGTCGCAGACTTATTCAGAAGATGGGAAACACCCATTTTATTTAGGCGTCTTTTTTCATAACTAATAATAAAATGGGTATTACTGCTCACTACCCTGAGACATCTATCTAATTATTCCCTGGTCGTTTTACAGTGTGGGGAATGACGTAGGACAGTCAAGGGGCATTCAGAGTCCCTGCTGTACTGCTGCGCCTTTTCTCTTAAGTGTCCAAACATAGGAGTGGGCAAGGGTATGGTAGGGAAACTAAAGCACTAGGAGAAAAAAAACAAACCAAGGCTTTACCACATTGGGTGTTTTGAGACAGAGAAGATGTTTCCATGTTACTGGTCTCTTGTTACCTGTCTTGTATCTGTTTTGGGGTGGTGATTTGTTTTCTTGGGGTTTGTTTTCTTCTGTTTTGATAGAGTCTTCTCATAGTGGGAGCTGAAGAACCAAAGGCAGTTTCTAAAGGACAGTAATTACCAGGAAGTCTGATCCAAAGAGACGAACGCCATCGCCTGTTGTTTCACACATTAGCGCACGCATGCCATTGACCCCTGTTAGCACGCAGGCCAGTCTCCGTCCTCTTCAGAATTAGATTAACTAGCAAAATATGGCTTTCGGTTCCTGAAGTCCTCGTTGTAGCTGCCAGAGACTATGTACTAAAAAAAGGGTGAGATGGGAATTGTTTGAGTGGTCATTCTTCTGTCTGGTCGTCAGGCAAGCTGCAGAGAACAGACATCTGTTAGTTAAAAAAAAAAAACCCACAGCCTCCTGAAGGTGTCCAGAATGCTTCAGTTTTGATGTGGTTATGTATCCAGTGCAGTGGGAAAGGAATAGGTAGTAGTACTACATACGGGAAATTGGGGACATTTGAATGAAATAGTTTCTGTTTTGTCTGGTATTGGGAATTCACATTGAAGTCTTAATTATTTATACATTTCTCAGCTTTGTTGTTTGAACTAACTCCTTCCTTTAGTGACTAACATTTTTCCTTTCCAAGTCCTAGTCTGTGAACTTGGCTTGTGACCCTGTACCTCAGTTGTCAGAAAACATGCTACTATAAGGACAGCTCAGCCATGAAAGGGAGAGTATCTCCCGTCCTGTGCCCACCATGGCTAGCCATGGCACAGTGGAAATGAAAATAACTCAGGAGGCCTCTTTTTTTCTGTAGAATTTCCCTGTGCTGTAGGCTGGGCATGGGTGCAGGCGCATGCATGCCACTGTGAATGTTTGGAAGTCAGAGGACAATCCTCAGATGCTGGCTGTAGCCATTCTCACTTGAGATAGGGTTTCTTCACTGCGCCACAGGCCAGACTGTGCATTTGCTGCTAGAGATTTATGTATTTCCACATCCCATTCCCGGTCAGGTAAATGCTTGTACTACTGAATCGAGCTCTTACCCAGGTTCTGAGGATCTGATTCGAGGCCACAAGGCATGTATAACAAGCGCCTTTACCCACTGAGCCATCTCCCTAGCCCAAGCCTCAGTTCTCTTTTCTGTGGTGGAAATGGTGATTGTTACTGGGAGCTACAGACCACGCAGGAATCACCTGCACTGTGGAGACCCTAGCACAATACAGGTGATCAGAAGATGTGTTTTGTCCTGGTTGGGTACCTAATCGACTCCCCAAGTTAATGGTTTTGTGCACATAGAGTAACAAGAATTAAATAGTTAGTGTCAGGTATTGTCTTTGCTGTAAGGCCAGCACCTGGGAGGCTGAGGCAGAACTGTGAGTTCAAGGACAACTTGGGCTCCATCATAGAACCATGTCTCCAAAAACAAACAAACTAAACCAAAATAAAAAATAAAAACCTGAAAATAAGAGAAGATAACAGATTTTTATCTATTCTTGCTATATTTTTTCTAGTAGACAATTTAGTACTTTAGTATTTTATTTAATTAGTTTACTTTTTGGCGGTGCTGAGGTGTAAACCCAGTAGCCCACATATGCTAGGTGAATGTTCTACTGCTACGTCGTATCAAAGCCTCACAATTGGGGCTTTAAAATTCTGACCTTTTCTGTGGTCTGCCTATGCAGCCCTTTTCTCCAAAATTAAGATTAAAAGGATCACCCTGAAATATCAGCCCTTCGATACCTTGGAGTTCTGTCATCCACCAGGAGGAGAAATTAGCTTCGAATGTGATTCCCCACGAGAGCCCTAGCTCTAAAACAACAGTCATAGCCTGCATTCATTCAGTCTGGAAAGGAAAGTCCTTTCTGCCCCTGTCTTTCTAGCATTGGTCTGTCTTACAGAGATGACCAGTTTCAAACTGCCCAGATGGTGTCAAGGATTTAGAATCCTCAAAATACTTTTGGTGTTTGACTGCCAGTTTTCAGCACCGATTTCCTGCAGGGGACTTGTAGTGCTGAGTCTTGTCACTTGAGAAATTGAAGACAGAGAATATTTCTTCTCCCAGAGTGTTGCATTGCCATAAAGTGCCTGAATCTGATAATGTTTACATTGATAACTTGCATGGTGACTTAAAAGTGTCCTGTTTTTTGGCAAAGTATCTGAATCCAATCAGAGAAATTGAATCCTAAATTTTCCTCGGATCACCTGAACCTATGTATTTTTCCTAAGAGGGACTGAATGGTATATTTTAAACCATTCTAGAACGCGAATTGAGAGTGGCAGCTGTAGTCCTAAAGTAGGGGACCAGTCTATTAATAAGGGAGAAAAGTGCTGAAGGAGGAGGACAACTTCTTACAGAGTTCAGCACCATGGTAAGACAGAACTTTCGTTCTCAACAGCAACCGTGTTAATCTCTCTCTCTCTCTCTCTCTCTCTCTCTCTCTCTCTCTCTCTCTCTCTCTCTCTCTCCTCCCCACTTCTATTCCCCTTTCTCTCTCTCCTTCATGCCCCCCCTTTTCTGAAAATCCTCATCTCAGGTTTTTGAGTCATGATGCAAGAATCTGGGTCTGAGACAAAAAGTAACGGATCAGCCATCCAGAACGGGTCCAGCGGTGGCAACCACTTACTAGAGTGTGGTGCACTTCGTGACACTCGGTCCAACGGGGAGGCACCAGCGGTGGACCTGGGGGCAGCAGACCTTGCCCACGTCCAGCAGCAGCAACAGCAGGTACTTTCCTGGGAACTGGGGTTGTGAGTGGGAGTTGAGCCACTGTCTGTGTTACAGGAGCATCTGTCTGCCTAAAGCAGGCATCCAGGGGTCTTTCTGACTGAGGCTAACTTTGAGGTCCTTGGGAGGTGCAAGTGTCTTTCTGGATGGTGGATGTTACACTTCTAGCCCCCGACATGTCACCTAAACTTTTATTATTCAATTAAATGACTTGTCTGGGAAAAACTGGTTGTTGATGCTTGAGGTAAACAGTAGACAAGTAGAACCATAATTGAACAAAAGCAGGCTTAAAAATGAACCTTATGAAGAAAGAAAATGAGCTGAAATGAAAGAACTAAGACTACATGGGGTGTAGTCAAATAATGAAAATAGAGACAATTAGAAATATAAGTGAATATGGTTAAATAACAAGCCCATGTCTGTCAGACAGACATCAGTTTGGGACATGTCTTCCTCCTGTTTCTAAGAACTAGGGTGTCTGCATTTGTGTATGTTTCATGGAGTCTGACCTCAGGTAGAGTTGGCAGTGGTGTTTTACTGCTCTCCTATCTGGGCCTCTTCAACAATTCCTTTGCCTGAGATAGTCTCATTCGGTCTTTGCCCTTCCCAGGGTGGACGCCAGTCCTTGGGAGTAACTGTTGAGACATTTCCCGGTGGTACAGGTGACCTAAGACGTGGTATTGTGTTGGTAAAAGCTCAAATGTAAATAGCATTTCCTTGAAGACTGGATTGGGTTCCCACCCCGTGGGATCAGGAAATATTACGAGTTTTTGCTACTGATAACAGGGCAGGTTTTGTCCTTGATCCATTTATTTTGTAGTTGTGGTACCATGCGTAATCAGGTATTTAAGAGAAAAAGAAGAATGAAACATCTTGGAGAAATTTTGTAACTTTATAGAGAAAATGTTGGGAAATGCCACAAGAGAAAAGGACAGACCTTTTAAACTGGTTTCTTAAAATGGGAATCAAATTCTTAGGGCTGGAGCCCTTGCTAAGAGTCTTTGTTATCTTCTTTTTCTGAGACACACTCTAACTTAGCTGATGCTACTGGCTTTGAAATGAGCTCTGGATCCTCTTGCCTCTACCTCCCAAATAGTTGAATCGCAGACATGCATGAAAATATAAACAGTCAGTAGACTGTGAACCCATTAGATATCAGTGGATGCAGTGTGAGACCATGTTACCAATTTGAGGAAAGATTTGGTAAGAAAAAGAAAGGGAAGCTGGCAGACAAACCAAGTCAGTTCAGGGGACTTTAGAGTGTGACTTGATGTCTTTTCTTGTCACGCCAACTATTTCTGCCTCCACTATAGACACCCGATCAGCTAGAGTTTATGCTACTGTGTTGTATTAATTTTGTGCACTTTAGTTAACACACAGTGGCTGAATTCTAACCAGGGAGGTTGTTTGCCAAACCCAGGAGTGCATTTGCAGCGATTGTCACCTGTGTGATATCCTCATGTACTTATGGTGAGATGAGTACTTAGTATTTTTAGAATACCATCTTCTGTGACATTCAAGACAGAGATGAAGATGAACCATTCCTTTATGAGGTAGTTGAGACCGGGCTAATGCAATTTGCGTTCCAAATAATTTTGTATTTAGAGTACATTTGTTATTGAGAGATTAATTTGTTTTGAATTTTACCTGAAGAACTAACAAACATTCAGAATATTAAAGAGTTTAACCAAGGAGCCAGCAGGTAAAAATGCTTGCCACCAACCTTGAGGACCTGAGTTTGATTCCCACCACCCACATGGCAAGAGAAGAACAAGCCCTTCAAAATCCCCTCTCCCTCTCTTACACATAAATGTAATAATAATAATAAAAAGTTTAAACAATGAAGTATTTAACCAACCACGAAAGTCTACATGTTCAGTACACCTACCAACACACCCTCACCATCCTTCAGAACAATAACAGCGGTAACATGAGTGACATGGAAGAATGTTCTGGAAGCATATTTTGGGTGTATCTTTCTTAAAAATAATGAGTCAGCAGTCAGTCACCTGGGCTGGACCTTCTGGAGAACATGTTGTTGAATGGCCATTCATGCAGTGTTCAAGTACTTGTCTTTTGAATCCACTTTGAAACTTGAAAATAAATATTTCACGGCAATTTTCTGTCTATTTGTCACTGATATGTTTGAGGAAGAAAGGCATGTGTGGGGTTGAGGATTGTGGCTAAGGCTGTACTTATTGTGGTTGGCAAGCCTTTTTAGTCCTTATAAAACACCCACAGCTGCCTCGACTGCCTGTGTAAGAGAAGTCTCTGAAGAGGTTGGTGAGGGGAATGGGAATGTGTAGGTGACAGAAGAAAAACTCCAGGCTCACAAAGGGCCCAGGGGCCCAAAGCTCCCCATGTTTTCTGCCGCCCAGAAATCAGCAGCAATTAAACTGTGTGGAGAAATTGTGAGTTTCGCTGGTGGACCTGCGTGGTTTTCGTCATTTTTCTCCTGCAGGTTTTTACTCGAAGTGAGAAGGCAAGCACTGAGAAAATCGCAGCCATGCTGAATTCATTACTGCGGTAGTCACACAAAACCACGGATAAAATTTCAATATCTGCAGGCCACAGTTGAGTAAACAGTTGCACTGAAATTTAATTCCTGTTGACTTTTCCCCCATTCCTCGCCAGGGGCACATTCTGATTCCATAGTACAAAGACAACAGGGGTTACAGCTTTGATTAATGTAGGACAGTGGAAGAGAGTTAGAACTGTAAAATATGTCAGAAGTCCACAGAACACAAAGATCTGACTTCAGACTGCCTGGTGTAAAAATGAGTTAATTACACTGTGAGTTACAGGGAATGGTTCAGAATATTCTGCTTGCACCAGAGCCTTTGGTGTTATTATTCTGCGAGGGTGGGGGTCGGTGCCGGGTTGGGCTCCTTCTTGCCAATCATGACTACAAATTATAGTGAGCGTCGTTTTCAGAAACTTCAGCCATCACAAAGAACCACTATCATAGTGATTCCACTAGTTGCCTATGTTGAGTCTCAAACAGAATCTGTTTTAAAGAATTATCTAGCTGACAGACTGGAGAAATGGGAGGACTTCGGTTTTCCATCCTTTCTTGAAAAATCAGAACGTCTGGCACCCTTGGGCGACAGCCCCACAAGGGCAGCAACTGCTGGGAGATGAATGGCTGCTGAGCTGAAGACGGGGAGCCCCGTAGCCTTGTGGTTTACCGTGGCTCCACCCAGCGGAGTAAGGCCCCTGCCCTCTAGGCAAAGCAGCTAGGGATGTTGGTCTGGAAGATGCATCATCCTTCAGAAGTTACCAGCCAAGGAGAGGGGCGGCCATTAGTTGGAGGAGCCCGCCCACACAAGTGCCTTGTCTTTCCTCCTCAAAAGGAAGCATATTGTCTCTATAATGTTTCAACTCTATTTATATCCAGGCTCTGCAACTATTACAATGGTTTTCTAATAACGTAATTTGATAGCATTTCTGAGCATTCTCTTGCAGCCCTTGAGTAGTTCTTTACCCTGTACCATGACTGCTTTTTACTTCCTATTATGCCGGCCTCCATTTCTATGTCTCTGAGTTCTGTGTTAGAGAATGACTACTCCATCATGAAGAGCAGCAACAGATACTATTATTGATTGTTAATGTTTTTTTTTTCTCTCCCCCCTTAGTGGAAAGATTTTAAAATGTCCAGAGCAATTTCATAAACTGTGTGGATTAATGTGTTTGAAAAGTCTTGAATTTTTGAAAGCAGGATTTTATTTCCATATTGCTGCAAATGAGAGCTTTTTCAGATAAGCATATTACATAGAACATAATGTTTAGAAGTTTCTCCATATACAGCATATGCTGGCAGGTCAATTAACAGAATGCATACCAGAAAATGTTTATTCAATAAAAATGAATAGCTGTTAAATAAACCAGCTATTCTTTGACAACATCCATTTTTTTAATGATGGGTGCTTTCTTTGGGGAGGGGTAAATTTTTTTGGTACCACCTGGCATTTTTATTGTGTGCAAATCAGCAAAAGGAGAGTTTTGGTGGTTGTGGTTTAGGGTATGGCTATCGTTTTATATGAGGAGAGCAGTTTCCAGAGAGCGGGTGAGAAAGTCATTAAAAAAAAGATATGCTGTGCTTGCAATTTGTTACTTAAGGAGTATAAGTAAATGAAGGGCTTACTTTTTGTAGCCTGTCTGATATTTGGTTTAAAATGTTGGAATTTTTGGTCAAAAGAAGGAGTGTATATTTCAAGTTAACAGTGTAAACAAAGAGAAAAAGAAACCAGTGACAAGCAAGGAAGTAAGAGAGGGAGAAAGTATAGGGAGGGCTTTCACGAGCATCCTGGGAGGGAGGAAGGGGTGGCTATGAGAATATGACAGGAAAAGTGCTGATAGTTACATGGGACCCTGGAAGCTCTTTGGGCATGAGTAAAGAGTATGGTGACATAAATTCAAAGAGGGTTTAGAAAATGGAGTATCAGAAGAATCTGAGAGAATCATCGAGTGTGATTCCACAGTGGGATTATAGTCAGCTCCTTGTATGCATGGTTCAGTTAAAGTGGATCTAAAGTTTGGGAGGAGAATTGTGTCTGAACTGAACATGTCCATATTGTCTTGTCCTTGGTCCCTCGGCACTAGAGGAATTACTTATACAATATTTGCCTAGTGTTGGGTTATTGTAAGTGATGTAGAGATGCCTTTAAAATTTGTGAGAAGAGGGTATGTAAGTTCCATGCAAATTCATCACCATGTCATTCCAGAAACTTGACCATTCATAGTTCTGGGTAGCCTTTTTGTGTAGTTACTGGTGAGACAGAAAGCAATTTAAAGAAGGAAGGATTTATTCTGGCTCACAGTTTAAGGGTGTAGTCCATCATGACTGGGAAGTTATGGTGACAGAAGTGAAAGGTGGCTGTCACGTTGCATTTGCAGTCAAGAAGCATAGAGAGATGAAGACTGGTGTTTAGTTTCCTTCTCCTGTTTATCCAGTGCAAGACCCCAGAATTGTCACCCACAGTTGGGTCTTCAAAACTTGA